CCCCCCCTGCACTCCCCCCCACCCTTCCCCAGAACCCCCATGGCAGGCCAGAACCTGGTCAGGTTATGACTGCCTCTGGCCCTCTTATTATTGTTAAAACAATAATAAAACAACGGAAAGAAGAAGAAAGCAAAAAAATAAAAGAAAATACATACACAGCCATCTGGGAGGGACACGCTGGCTAAAATAGGGCCCAGGGTAACTAATGGGGAAGGCCTTGTGGTGGGGAGCGGCTAAGTCTTCCCTTTAAGTCTGAAAACTCGAGTGCCCTGGGCAGAAACTGCAATTCCCATCAGCTCCCGATGGGCGGGAACTATAGATCCCATTAGCCCTTCAGGGAGCATAAACTACAACTCAGTCTCTGGGTCAACAACTACAACTCCCATCAGCCTCCTGCGCCTCTCCACTAACCAAAGTGGGCGAGCTTCTGACCTCTGGTAGATAGAAGCTTGGTAAGCTCTAGGCTGGGAGGAGGGCTCAAACTCTGGCTTTGGAGGTTGCCTTGGGGCCTCTCAGGAATGGTGTTGAAGATTTCCTCGCTGGCCCCACCACCAGCTCAGCCTACGCCCCATCCCTACCTGAGTACTTCACTTGGTATCTACGCCCACAGTCCTCCACCCCCGGTGTTAACCATCCCAGGGCTTCCACTAGTAGATCCTGCAGCCAGGCCAAGCCTCACCTCCAGAGATTTCTCGGCTCTGCCTACCGCAGCCTTCCAGCTGGCTCCACTTCTCACATACCTCTGCTGGCCCTTCCCACCAGCAGCACCGTCAGTCTCACAGAGGCCACAGCAAACCCCTGCCACTGAAGCAGACACCTTGCCAAGCTTCTCGAACTGCACTTCTCCATCAGGCTCCTTAGACCACAAAGTTTAAAGCTCCAGTTCCTAGCCCTCCACAGGCTTAGCCATAGTGAAATGTTGAACCAAGAGTGGAGAATGTTTTGTGCAGCCAGGACTGTCCAGTTCCACAGATGGAAGCCGGGACCTCATGAATGCCAGGGAAAGCACTGGCTCTACCACTAAGTCACATCCCAGCCCTCAGCCCCAGCTTCTAGTGGATGGGGACACTGAGGCCCGAAGAGAGCAGAACTTCCAAGGAAAGTGAATGAACCCATTAGCCAGTCCCTTCTGGGACTCCCAGAGGCCAGGAAAGGAGAAAAAAAAAACAAAGGGGCCCATCACTCCCACACCTCCAGGAGGCCGGCAAGGCTGTTCACCTGAGAACCCAGCCTTGAAGGCTACATGTATGTCAGCTGAATTCCTTTTTGACTATAGACAAGTCCGGCCCCTGATGTGCCCCAGTTCTTGTCTATAATATTGCCAAGCATGGTGCCAAGCATGCTTGTGATTCCAGCACTCTGGAGGTGGAAGCAGGAAGATCAGAAGGAGTTCAGGGTCATCTTCAGGTACATAGCAAGCTCTGGCCAGCCTAGGGTATGTGAGAGTCTGTATCAAATAACCAAAATAAGTAAAACTAGGGCAATGAGCTTCAAGCCCAGGTTAAGCCTAGCAATGCTTCATTCCCATCAATTGGCCTGGCTCCTACCCTCTGCCAGCTCTGCCTTTCACTTTTCCCATCTTAGACTAAGCCACTGGTGGCTTGGGGAACTCAGGGTCAAAACTCACCCTAACTGGCTTAGGATCCTTACGCAGCTGGCCATCACTGGAGACTCAATGAGGAAGTCAGTCCTGTGCTAGGGACATATCCTTCTCTAAAATGCTAGTCATCAGACTGGCCAAGGCCTGGCCTGACAGAGCCTCCAATCTATGTGGGAACAAGTACATCCTTCCATACCCGTGTCCCTCCATTTCCAGTGTCTACATCCCTGCAGAGGGCAAATTAGCTCACAGGAAAGCTGGTGGCCCTTCAAAGAGCGACATCACAGGCCTGATGATAGCAGGTCCTCCTCCCTACATGAATCCTAAGCTCATCCAGGGCCTCTGTGCTCACCCACACACCTGCTGTTCCCTAACCTTTGTCTTCTCTTGAGAACAGGCTCCCTACGGATAGCTCACACTTGCTCAGAATCCAGCCAGTGCCTCATTTTCCAGGCAGACCCCAGTAGATGCCCTCTGCTCCTGTGCCTCTGACTCTGTTTCCCTTCTCTGCTTCAGAGGCTTGAGTTTGACCCACAGCCAGGGAAGGCCCAAAGGCCTGAGTCCCATCTGTCAATCTTACTAGCAGCCAGCAGCAGGCCTGGCATGGAGCTGAGGCCCTTCTGCTCTTCGAGGGGAAGTGAATGACAAGGCCTCTAGCATTCCCTCTGAGATGGGCCAGGGACGTGGAGAACATGGAGCACCTTTCACAGGCTGAGTGTTACACACAGCCTCCTGCTCTGCCATCTTGGGCAACAGGCATCACTGAAAGCTAAGCCTGGCATTGCTTCCTCCAGACCTGGCCTTTCCATCTTAGACTGACTTACCAGGGCCCTCAGGAACTCCAGAGTCAACCCTTCCCTAACCTGGCTTATGCTCCTCAAGCGGCTGGCCATTGCTAGGTGTCATTGCTCTTCCCTAGAATGCAGCTCATCAGCATGACCAGGACACAGATCTGGGCTCTTTACCAACCTGTTGCCTCCCCCTGGGTGAGGGCCTGGATCACACATATCCTGCCCAGCCTGTGGCACTCCCACAATCACCCGCCCCCAACTCACTAGTCTTGGGACACTTGGGCTTTCTAGTTCTCCCTTCTCTAAGCCCCATGGCTTCCCCTGGATCCTTTTCTAGGTCTCGGCCTTATCCCTGCTGCAGTCCCCATTCCCTTGGTGCTTTTCTCTACCCATGGTTTGTGACCATATCTCCCATGATCCACCAGTGCTCTCTCGGCATAGCAGGATCTTTCTCTCATACTACTTCCTCTGTGTGCCTGATACCCTCACACAAACGTTTTCCAAAGTGATAGGACACGGAAAACCTCCCACAGCTTTCTTTCCCACGTCACCCTCATTAAAACTGGCCAGGATTATGGGGCACTAGAGTAATATCAGTGTATGAGCTCCCCTGGGATTCTGGTCCAGGAAGGATCTAGAAAACTCACCCTAGGGAGGAGTCAGGGCCCGAGCAAGGAAGGATGCCTCAGAGGCTTCTCACTGGGATGGTCCCACTGGACTTTTGAGCAAAAGGTACACTCAGGGTGACTCATGATGTTGGGGGTCCTGTGATCAGCTCTGCATCACTGGGAGACCAACGGAAGACTGTGGCCCCCGAAGCCGTCAGACTCTGACAAGGACCCCAGGCAGCCTCTATCCCCTCCCTCACTGCTGGCAGCTGCACCAGTTGCTTATCAGAGCTGCAATCCTCTCACCCTTTGCTCTTCTTATCCAAGGAAATGGGATTTCAATGCACGTTGAGCCCACTTCCTAGACAATCCCATTCTGATTGGACACCACCAGCCATTCCCAAGCAGCTCTTCCCTCCCCTTTCCAGGGCACTCACAGAGTGAGCTGAGTCCTTTCAATCTTTGAGGCACAGAAACCCTGACCAGAAATCTACCTGTAAAGCTCCGTGCAGAGGTTCACACCTGTTAATTCCATTACTTGGGAGGCTGAGGCAGGAGGATCACCATGAGTCCAAGTGTTTGAGGGCTACAGTGTGGGACTCTGTCTAAAAAAAAGATCTACCTATGAACACCAATTTCTATCCAGTCTACCCCCACAGGAGTCTGAATCTGAGGTTCAGAGTGTCCCAGGCTAAGCCATCTGCTGGCTGAGACCCCATCTACCAGTGCTGAGGGCCCTATCCAAGCTGGGAGGGGCAAGAAGGCCAGCATTTCAGTGGATTAGGAGAAAAGGCAGCCCTTATACATGGACATTTCTATAGGTCCATGACTTGGCAAGTCACACGTCCACAATATTGGTAAAAATCACTCTCCTCTGAAGAGACACAGCCCAACTCAGGGCCCAGGATACACTGCTAACCAAGCAGAACACTGTCTAGATTCCATCCCTACTCACCTGTTGGAGCAGAGAAGTATGCCACTGTGGGCTGTAGCCTGAAGGATGGTATCCCTCCGCACCTGCAACACCAGCATGGCAAGGGCGGAGGCCAGAGTGGCTTAGGGTCACAGAGAAAGTGAGCTACTCAGCAGGAGGGTATGTGCACATGTATGTGAGCACACACACTCAGCTGCAAACCCCCATGAAGGTGTGTGTTTCTACATCCATGAACACAAAATTCCTAAGCACATCACCTTCATGGATCTGAGATACCTGTGTGTATGCCAGTGAATGTGAACAGATGTGTGCAGAGTCTCTCGTGTCTGCTGCCTAAGAGCCTAAGGCATGGGTTTTGTGTGCATGCTCTGTGGATGTGTCCCTCAGAATATGCAAGCAAAACACCATGGCTCTGAGCACAAGCAGTATACTACCCCATAAAATAAATACATTGCTTCTGAACCTTGACCTCTAGACTACATTTCCCAGCATCCTTAGCAATTGAGCATAGCCCAATTGCTGAGTATTAGACCCTGTCCAGTTCTTTGTTCTTAACAGCCCCCCATGCTCCATCCTCCATACTAGGTGCCACGGATGGAGGGAATGTGGATTCCTAGTGTGCCTTCTGGGCAGAACCCAGGGCGGGTACACCTGAGTGAGAAAGTTCTCTTGTGTTAACCACTAAGATTTAGGGCTTATCTGTTACAGAAACAAATGTTCTCTTATACAGGCTTTGGCCCCTGAAATGGATGTCATGGTAACAAAATACCATGGCATTCAAGTGACAATCCAAGGAAGATGAAGACCCACACACCACTGTGGCAAAGATTTGGTACAAGCATTGCTTGTGCCAACCTGCTGAGGCTGAGGTGCCAAGGAAGAGTGTGGGGACAGGGACAGGATTGCCATCTCTAATGTTCCTCTTCTGGCAACACGTTACAACATAAACTTAAACAAGAACTGGCTGTCTTGTAGGAAGGGAAGATGACAACCCGGACATGTGATTCCCGCAGAGGTCAGAAGAGCCATTTCTCCCAGTCTCCACACAGGAGTAAGATTGAGAGGGGCTCAAGGGCCGATGGAACAGATCTTCTCAACTGAGAGAGGGTCTTTTTCTTCCCAAGGGTCGGATCTAGGAGTGGTCTCCCCACCTACCATTTAAGGGTCCTCAAGACAGTCACACAAAGCACTATGGAGAGGGCAGGAGCAGAGAAACAAAAGAAGACATGGGGGTGGAGACCAGAGCTTAAGGGAGGGCTGTGGTGTGGCTGCTGTGACTAAGCCTTGAAACCACCAGAGATGCACAAGCTGGTGTGGGATGTCTGCACTTCCACACAGCCTAGGAGAACATTTCTCCCAAAACCCACTTCCAAAGGCCATGGAGGATAAGGATGGGGACATTCTGCCCAGCAGAGCGGCAGCCTAAAGCCGTCCCAGAGGGCAGAAGCAGGATTTCCCGGAGACTCTGTCCTTACCAGTGCAGGAGCAAAGCCTGCTGGCCCGAAGCATGGATTCCCTCCTCCTCCGTGCTCACACATGTGTGCTGTGTGCATGAATACTGCCCCAGGCACCACATGTGCTGCCAGATTTCCTTACCCTCACCTCTTCTTGGAGGTAGGGGTGGGCAGGATCTTGCTATACACTCCAGGTTGACCTTGAACTTGTCATCCTGTTGCTTCCACTCCCCAAGTGGCACTCGCCACTACACCCAACCTCTTTCCGTTTGTGGATGTGCTTTTGTTGTAGGGGCTACCTCTGCAGAACTGTACTCTAGGGACGTGTTGGAAGAAGTCAGGTAAATGATCATTTCAGTTCATAGTCTTGAGCCCAGAGGAGGCAGGTCTGAGTGGATCAAAGTAAGCCACCATCCCCCCACAAACAAACTCTCTTGGCATAAGACTTTTGTCATCCTTGGAGTGGTAAAATGAAATAGATCCTTGGTGACCAGACAGGCCAGACTTAAGCAAAACATTCCCTAGCTGGTCCCCAAATCTGTATGTGCTTCTACAATAAGGTGGTGGCTCCTTGCTATCTCAGAAGCTCAGCTGTGGTTCCAAGACTGAGCTCCAGGTTTGGCATGCAATGTGGTCTGGAAAAGCCTCTCCCAGGCCCAGCCCATGGAAACCTCCTGCTTTGGACCCCTTGCTCATTCCTGAACCTTGAGAAGTCATGAGATAAAAATGACCCAGCCACAAGATGAAAGGAGACCAGGCCCCGAGTCATTACTAGAACGGTCCCCTCCAATCTGAAGCATTGTTTGTAACTCATGGGAAAGAGGCTACAGGTGTCTGTTAAACCACAGAGGTTGTGGAGTGTCCATTATAGCAACTAGTGTCATTCTGGAAGCTCCTAGGAATCTTGACACACGTTTCTGTGCATTTGACCAAATATGTGCACCTAGGGGAGAAAGCCTGCATATGCCTCTGAGGGTCTCATTCCTGGGTGGGAGACACTGAGGAGGGGTGTGTATAGGGTAAATGCGTGGCACTGGTGTTCATCTGACACAGGTGAACCTGTATGCATAGGAAGGCTTGTGTTTCCATGCTCCTAGGCATATGCCCCAAAGCACGCGTCCAGATGTCTCTACAAAACTGTGTGAGCCTGAGCATGCAGGTGTGCCCTTGTGGGTCTGAATGGCTGTGTACATATCCCTAGGAATGAACACACAGTAGACACTGTTCTGAACTGGGTCTGAGTGTACACATGCCCTACAGGTCTGCAGATAAGTGTGTGCTCATCTGTGTGCCACTACATGGGTACCACTGAGCACAAAGATACACCCTATGTCTGTGAGCATTTGTGTGGGCCATTTTAGGCCCGTGTGTGTGTGTGTGTGTGTGTGTGTGTGTGTGTGTGTGTGCGTATGTGCTTCTCAAGGTTCCCTCTCTTGAGGACAGTGTGGAGGGGGTGCAGGCTAATGAGACTGAACAAATGTGTACATATGCACAGACTTGTAGGATCTGAGCACTCACAGCCCCTCTGACATGTACCCAGACTCCTTTGGTCTTAGTACATGTTCATACCTCAGTGTGTAGAGGCCCCTTCTACAGGGACAAACATGTAGGTTCATGATACCTCCTTCCAAATAGATATATGCATTTTGGTGAGTATAGATGGACACCTGTGCACACAGACATGAGTTGCACTGCTGTGCAACATGTATGTGCATGTTTCCATGAGTGTGAACAAATTGTGTTCATGCCTGCACACAAATTCTATGTCTGTGGTTAGGAAACCATGTGAGCATCTGGAAGTCTAAACATACATGTGGGACTGTAGTCTGTATAAATATGTAAGCAAGTGTTACAAAGATGGCTCAGTCCAAATACATATGCCTTTGTGAACTGAGCATGGATGTGAGCTGACCATGAACCCTGAGTTCAAGAACATGTCACAAGGCATGTGCCTCTGCGAGTCTGAGCGCAAGTGAGCATACACAAAAAGATCTGAACCCACAGTGCATGCCCCGAGTATATAGTGAATGAGGAGGTCTTCAGGCTCAGAGTACATCTGTGTGCATCAACAGATGTGAGCATCTGAGAGCTACCTCTGAGGGTTTCATAAGCATGTGTTTCCACACAGCCCTGAGTGTAGGGACCTGGGTGGGTTTAAGGGTCACAGTGCTGAGTGTGGGTGCCTTGTGCAGCTGAGCATGTGCAGGTGTGACTCTCTGGGGGCTGAGCAGGTGCACAGCTGTGAGTCTAGGCATCTCTAGGTGTTCGGGGAGCTCTAAGCATGCATATGAGATGCTCAGTGGCTCTGGTACACAGCACACTTCATGGAACTGTGCACACTGCAAAGATTTGTGTCTCTCTGGATTTCTCAGGGGTGTACATGGGTTTCAGGGCACCTGCACACACATGACTCTTTGGTTCTAAGCATTATGTGCTTCTGTTGATCTGGGTGTAAATGGCATGTGCTTTACATGGTGTGTGGTGTGTGTGTGTGTTTGTGTGTGTGTGTGTGTGTGTGTGTGTGTGTGTGTGTAGCAATATGTGAGCTCCCAGGCAATGCATGATTGTGTATGCATGAGTGTAGGTGTGTGTGCCCCTGGTCAGAGCACATGCATGTGCATGTGAATGTATGCTTCCGTGGATATGTCTTTGTGTTCTTTCTGTGCCTCAGGGGTACAAAGTCCACAGTCCTTCAGGGACCAGGCTAGAAATATAATGTGTGGGCCAGGACAGCTGGGCCAGCAAGGTGGTGTGTCATGTTGCCAACTGTAGGTGTGTGTCCCTTAAAGGAACTCCCACTAGGGAAATTTTTAACAATACTCCGTGTGACTGAACCTCCAGCCTTGAGAGAAATAATGTGCTAGATGACAGGCTTACTAAGCAGGGAAGAGAACAGAGCCTGGAGGGCTGTAGTGAAGGAAAGGGATGGGGAGGTGGACAGGCCGAACAGGGATGATCCCGGGGCCCATACGCCTATCCGGGGATTAAGATCTGGAAGTGGGGAGGGTAGACAACCTAGGGCCAGGCTCTAGGCCGCCTGTCACTAGCCAGGCATCTGCTAGAAAAAGCTTCCTTACCCTGGGGCCCCAAAGTGAGCTCTAAGTGGAGAGGCTAGGATGAGAGGGGCAGGGAAACGTGGCCCAGGACAGCCTGGGCACCCAGAAGTCATCTTGAGCCCTGCCTGGCTTGCATGGGGAGAGAAAGACAGCATATTGTAGGTGAACTGCCCTGGGCATTCCAAGGTCCACTTCACCTGCCTCCAGGGCCTGTTTTCAAAGCTGGGCCAGACACCAGCCCTCCCTACTCCCAGGCTCGTCTTCCTTCACCTCCATCATCTTCCCCTCACATAGTGGCTCTGTTTTACAGAAGAATGGTGCAGTGGTCAGTGATCTCTGGGAGCCCTGACTTGGGGGCAGCTGACCCATCCACTTCAGGTCCACCTTACTCTCTTATTCCAACAAAGCCTGAAAAGGCTCAGGATACCAAAAAGCACACTGTAGGTCATGCCCAAGCTTCTAGACAGACTCTGGGCTGGGACATCAGACCCTCCCTCCCAGTATAGCCCTGGACAGCCTGGAGAGAGAGAGAGAGAGAGAGAGAGAGAGAGAGAGAGAGATCTGTGTGGTGTGCTGTGGCTCTGCAGAGTTGAGGGAAAACAGAAAGCTATCATCACAGAATTTGTGTCCCGGAATGAAAGGTGAGGCTATACCCCTTCCCCATGGCACAGTGCAGCCCAGAGTGTCACAGGTCATTCCTTGCAGACATTTATAGCAAAGCTGGCTATAAGAATCCCAGCCACTGCTGAAAGCTTTGATGAATTAGGCAGTGCTGAGAGATGCTGTGGGCAGACTCTGCCTCATGCCCAAAGCCTCCCAAAAGCAATAGAGGGTCTGCAGTGTAAAGAGATAAAGAAGGGGCTCCAGCAGAGAGGCCTCCTGCAGAGGAGAGCATCTGTTCCCAGAAGCACAGGCCTGGAGCTGTGGACAAAGAGGTCTTTCCTGCCCAGCAGTTGGCACCTCCCATGAGGACCCCTGGTGCAGGACCACAGAGCAACCCCACTCAGCTCTAGACCACTGAGGATGAGAGGGATAGAAGGAAGGGCATCGGCCTGTGGGCATGGGGGTCTCCACTGCTGGTCTGTAACCAGGACCCCAAGGCTCCACTGTCTATGATTCCACCCTATCCACCCGCACTCTAACCGGGTGGCAGCCTGCCCTCAGCTTCAATGTCTCCTTTGGAGCTGGAAGGCCCTCCAGATCCCTGACCCCAGGGATTCACAGCCCTTCTCCATCCCTGCATGCACCTGCCCCAGCCTTGCTGAAGCATAGCCCAGATGCCACCATGGCAAGGTGAATGTACACATCTTTGGGAAGCCAAGCATGAAATGTGGACAGCCCCTCCCTCCTATGGGTTCATCCAGGCTTTAGCCAAGGCCTGTGTTCCCCCATTGGGAGCTCCCACCAGCCACATCCAGTCCTTTTTCCAGTCCCGCTGTCAGCCCCCAGTGCCCACCTCCCACTGTTCAGCCACTGCCAACCTGCTCAGAGGAGCAGCCCACAACCACTAGGCCGCCCCTCTCTCATGCTCTCAGCCAGCATGCAAAGCTCTCCCCGATTTGCCCAGCTGCTCTCAGCAGCTGTAGCCTTGGCTCCAGCCAGCAACATTAAGCAGAGTCTCTGTGTGGCTACCACTCAGAAGCCCTTCCCCATAGCTTGTTCTCCTACAGCCACTCTCAAGCTAGGATCTCCCCGGGGGCTGCATGTCTGGCCTAAAAGGGGCACCTCCACTTAGCTCACTGCCAAATACAGAGGTTCCATGTAGCAATCGCCCTCCTTGGCCTGACAACCTGGGGACCCTTTCAAGAACACCAGATAAGTCCCTGAGGCTAAGCAGGAGGCCAAGGGAATGCCAACAGAGACCTCTATGAGTGGCCAAGAGAGCGCCAGTCTTCGGGGCTGATGGGAGTTGTAGTTCTGGACCCAAGGGCTGGTGGGAGTTGTAGTTCCCCTACCTCCCATTCCAGGACTAATGGGAGTTGCAGTTCCTCGTGTTTCTACAGCCACATCTCCCTCTTTTCTCCCAGTTCCTCTTGACTCTCCACCCCTAGGAGCCCAGGCTAACAACTTCACTATCTTCAAGGATGGGACACCAAAAGGCACCTTGTCAGAGGGCGTGTTAGGGACCTGGGGTCTTCTAAGTTACAAAGGGACTGCAGGAGAGAGCTAAAGCCTGCAGCACACCCTGGGCTGGGGCCAGGTGGCAGATAGTCGCCCCCCTCCCCAACTTCGTCGCAGGGGCCCGGGGCAGGGGAGGGGGGAAAGGCACTCACCAGTACTAGGCTCACACTCCTCCAGGTCCTCATCATCGCTTGGACATTCAGCCGAGGCCACCAGGAGGTCATCTGTGTTCTGGAGGATAAGAGGAGGAGTAGGGAGAGAGAGGGTTCCAGTGGGTGAGCAGACCCCATCCAGGTTGTGGGGCAGCACAGAAAAGAGGCCCAAGGCCAAGCCTAGTCCTCTCATTTGTTGAGTGACTTGGCCTCTCAATTTCCCATGCTAAAGGACACTAAACAGAGCCAGCCCTGCGGTCCCTGTGGCCCTCAAAGATCAGACAACATGTGTTAAGCCCTTGACACTGGGGAGCCAGGGGACAGGATGCCACACCTGGCCTGCAAGGTGCATACCAGGGGTCCCAGGTGCCTGGAGCAGGTGTATGGAAGAGGCCCAGGTGCAGAGGGAGGGGGTCCATGGACAGCAGGGAGCAGGGTCTGGAGGGTTCCCCATCTCCAGTTTCCCTACCCATCACCTCTCATCTTCCCCAACCCCCTTCCACAGAGAGAACCAGGCTCTGCACGATAATTAGGGCTATGGTTGCCATGACAACAGGAGTCGACTTTGTCAGCATTTTCTCTCCTCCTGATTGCAAAGAAAGAGGATCCCTGAGATGAGTGAGCCTTGGGGGGAGGGGAAGTTCAGGGGGGTTAGGAAAGAGCCACGGAGGGAGACCCAAAGTGCAAGGAGGAAGGGAGGCTGGCCAGGGTGGAGACCAAGGATGCCAGGGTGAGAGGGTCCCATCCTGCTGCTCCCTAGGTTCCACTTCAGACCCAGCAGCCCTTCGACAAGGACAAAATCATGGACTCCTAATCCCTTCTGCCTCCTTGAGCCCCTTCTTTTCCACCCACCCCAGCATCTCTCTTGGGCTATCCACTCTCTTTCCCACATGGCTGGTCTCCTACCCTCTTCTAGTAAGATTAGGTGTGATTTGGAGGACCTGGGCCAGCAGGTAGCCAGCCTAAGTAAGCCCAGGCCTTCCTCTTAGAGCTTCCCACTTCCTAGAGGAAAGCCCCAGGGCATTCAGCTCCCCCAGATTTCTGGGCACTGAAGACAGAGAGGGAGTCTTATAGCTTGCCTCTTTCTCTTAGCCAGCCTAGCCCAGCCCCAGGATCCCTGCAGGACAGAAAAGAAGAGCCTGGAGCCTGGCAAGCCCAGTCCTGAGAGATGCTGCAGACAAACTGGAATGGGGGAGAAATGTCCTCCTGGACATCCCAAGATTCTTCTGGGCCTGATGACTCAACAGCCAAGGCAGTGACACTTGGGGAAGGGAGACAGAAGCACTGTGGAGCTGAGGTGGCCCAGCTAGGTCACTGTGACAGGTACAAGCTCTCCATAACCTGTACTCAGCAGAGGCATCAGTGACAATTAGGTAACCCAGCTGCTGGGCAGTCCCATATACCCAGAAAGTCAGGTCTGCCTGCTCCTTGGAGCTTTGTTTCCTTGGTGTGGCCCCTCTAGACTCCAACCAGATCCAGGGAGCTCCTGATCTGGCAGATGATTGTGTGTGCAGATAAAGCTTGGGGAATCTGCACCCCCATTCAGAATACACACTCAAAGGAGGAGGCAGAGGCCCACCAAGCTGAGGCGCTCAGTGCTCACTCCAAGTCACATGCAAAAGATGTGTGAAGGTGAAGGACTTACAATCTTTTCCTCTCTCCCAACAGAGATGTCAGCATAGGGAGAGGCTGCTCCTAGCCTCTGCCAGCATCTGGAGAGGGGCTGCCCGACTGCACATCACCACTCTAGTGTGGCATCTTGGCCCAAAATGCCACCATCCAACTCTAGTTGGCCCACTAATCTCTGGCATGGATACCCTCTTCACTATTCTCTCAGTCTTCATCCAGATTTCCCTTCTCATGGCTATGGTGTATGGACTTCTCCAGCCAACTGCCCTTAACTCTAGACCCCCTAAGAACAGTGGTCAATATCAATGATCAATATCCCTGGTTACCATGTGAAGGCCTTCTCCTTCTAAACCATGACAACAAGGTCAGAAAGAGCTGTCTCCAGAACCACCGCACTTGCAAAGCCCCTTGGACCTTCCCTGACCCAGAAGGGGTCTCACCTGGGTGGTGCTGTCCCTCATTGTGGGGGAGCGGCCCCGGCGAGTGGTGGTGGTGGCCATGGTGGTGGTGGTCTCCATGATGGTGGTGGCCATGTCAGCCAGCAGGGTGGTGGCAGTGGTCTCCGCACTGAGCAGCACGGATGGCCCCTCCCCTACTAGGCGTAGGTGGCCTTCGGTCCGAACGTTGGGGTCGCTCTCGGCGGCCAGCGCCAGTACCTTGAGCCCATTGTAGTAGAGGCCGGACACCTGGCCCTGGAAGGGGCGGCCCTGATCCCGGCCCCCAATCTTGATGGCAGCCTGGCTGTTGAAGATGGTCAGCTGGCGTCCTGAGGGTTGGGGATGGGGTGGGAAGGGCAGACAGAGGAAAGACAGGCAGTCCAGGTAGGCCAGGAAGGGATGGGAGAGTGGAGAGAGCAAGGGGAGGAGAGAGGAAGCCAGGAGGAAGCCAGCATGTGGATAGGGGAGGAATGAGGAAGAGGCAGACAACCAAGGGAAAGTCCTTGTTAACCAGAGCCCCTAGCCCAGCCAGGCGGGACCCCCACAGAAGAGGGCCGCCAGGACACACATGGGCTGGGACAGGGAGCCTGGTCACCCCCTGTTCCCACCATGCACATGCCTCTCCAGCTGCGCCTGTCCCCCTTGCTGATCTCACCCCAAGGTGATCACCCTTCTTCCTTATCCTGCCGTTCCATCCCATCTTCTCTCTGCTCTCCCAAACTTCCCACCCAATTGTCCAGCCCCAAGCCATAGTGTCCTCTGAAGCAGTAGACAGTGGCAACAGAGACAGAGACAGGAGGGAGTCCTGCCAGGCCAAGATGGAGTCGGTGAGTGTGAGCAGAGGAAGCAACAAGATGAGGGACAGAAGCACGAGTCTGTTCTGGGCTTGGCCCACCCACAAGCACCGTGAGTACCCATGATGGCTGGCCAGGCTCTTAGTTTCTCCCGCCCTCCTGAGGCCCAGCCGCTGTGCTGCCCCCAGAGCAGGTCCTGGTGAGCACAGCCCTTCCCCCAGTATGGACGTTCAAGCCTAAATATGGAAAATGTTAAAGGGACCTTGCTTCGCTCGCTGACAGCCAATATAACTGCTCCAGCTCCAATCTGGCCCTGCATTTGGCAGTGTTAGATACCTCGGAATGGCCCCTGCAGAGAGCTTGGCTGCTTGCTTTGGTTTTAGCGGACCTGGGGGGTCAGTTTAACCCTCTGAGTTTGTTGTTTTGGTTTGGTTTTTTAGAAAAGATATTTATTATTTTTAAGTTTAGATTTAGCTTTTGTTTTGATGTTATTGGGGAGGGGGAAATAGAGTACGATTTTGCCCCACTCTCCCATGGACCTTCAGCTGCTTTCATTTAAGACCTGGCTTAGCCCTTGTTAGCCTCAGGTTAGTGCCTCGTTAGAGATCTGGTTTAGAGTTAGAGACCTGTGAGCCCTGCCCCCCAAACCTGGGCTGAGACAGTCCAACCTGTGACCCATACTCGCTCTAGAAACATAGGCTCTCCAGGGCTCCCATTCTCTACAGGCCCCTTACTCAAATGTACTCCCCCAGCACCTACTTCGGGCTCAAGTAAAGATGCCCCCTCAAACAACCATGCTTCCACACCTATGTCTGAGCCCTGCTCACAAAGCTGGAGGGCTGCTGCGTAAGAATTATAAAAACACAGGGGAAAAAGGTGCTAAGGGTGAGGTGAGTTCTCTATTAGACAAATTCCTTTCTGGAAAGTCTTCTCAGAGCCTTTACAAAACCAATGTACATGTGGACTTCTAAAAGGAGGAACCAGGTTCCATCCCAAATCCATTTGACCACAAGGCTCTTTACTGCGAGGCATCCCCAGGAACTGCTGATCCAGACTTGCTTTGAAAGTAGAAAATGGAGCCATTCCATAAACATTTATTGAGCCCCTACTGTACCCCAGAACTGACAATAAAATACCCCTCCAAGAACACCTGACCTGACTGGACTAGCCTATTCCGTATTCTTCCCATGGTGCAGGTGGAGTGGGTTGAGCCAAGAGGGGAACTAGGCTCATAGGGTCAGTACCCAGCCAAAGGTACCTTCTTCTCTTCTTTTCCTCAAAGAGGAAACGAAACACAAGCTTAAAGAGAAGGTGTGGATGCCACTAGTGGAGGGCCAAGGAGTTCTTCCCTTCTTCGACCCCTCTAACAGCTCTCCCAACTGAGTGGGGAATGAGGGTATCACAGTTGTCCCAGCCTCAGCCCAGGCTCCTCCCTTGGCCTCTCTGATTCTAGGAGGGGAGGGTGGGTAAAGGAGAGGAAGCCATGGCCTCTGTGGCCCCTGCCCCACCTGCCATGAACGCCTCAAAGGGTTAAAGTTCACCCCGCTGGAGAGATCAGCCCAGTGTGGCTGGGGGCTGCAGGTTTTAGCGATGTCTGTTACAGTCCCTTTAACTTTTTTGTCCTGTTGTGGGTTTATCACATCTGGTTATCAGCGTGTTTAGGCCCCATGGGTTCAGGGGCTGTAAGTGACATTTGGGGGTTTTATTGGGGAAAGTCCCATGGACATTTAAAGCACAGTTATCAGCTGGTTAAGTGGAGGTTTAGCACTTCTGCTCCCCACTAGAGTTTAGCCTTAGAGGTACAGAGCTCGCCCCTCCTCCAACGGGAATAATATGGCTGTGCCCCCAACTTGCCCTGGTGACAGAAAGCCTTCCCTCTCACACACAGCACCTCACTTGCTACATAATGGCTCTTAGGAACCTGCTCTGACTTCCTCAGCAGACCAGTAAGCAGAAGCATCTAAGAATCCCTAAGAGACCACCACCATCCCTTTCTCCTGTACTCCCCACCTCAGCCTGCACTACTTCTAAGGGCCTTAGAGGTCACTCCATGTGACCCGAGACTCCAGCTCTTGCTTTCCCTCAAGATAGCCCTTCTGAGCCCTCCTTTACTGGCCCAGCCCTCTTTGCTTCCCAAACCTTTCCTACCTGCAGGTGCCCTGTGGCCCTTTCCTAAATCTTTGAGGGGAACTTGGCCAGAGGGACCTGACCTTCTAGCCTGTGTTCTCCTCCTGCTGGAGATGTCATATCTCAGCACAAGCCCAGGGTGCTTCCAATCTTTCCAGGGTCGGTCTAGGAAGACACCAGGTTTTCTCTTTCCTATTCCCAAACCACCTCCCGGGAAACAAACTGAGTGCAGGGGGCAGAAGGAAGCATCCTGCCCAGACAATTGCCCCTCCACTTGGGGGTGGGCATGACAGAGGAGCAAAGGGGTGGGGGAGAGAGCTCTGCACCTTTAAGATAGTGTTTTTAAAGTTAGTTAGTTAGTTAGTTAATTAATTAATTAATTCTGGTTAATTACCTTTGTCGAGCAGCCACTCATCTACTACTCGACCAAGCCGGTAGGGGATTCTCTGTCTAGCAATCGCCAGGCGCTCGTTATCAAAGTTTCCTTGGAAAAGTTTAGAAAGACAGTAGGTTTCTCAGGCAGCGCAGTCCGAAGGCTTTAGAAAATAGTTATGCAGTTCTCAGGAGACCCCAGCAAGCAGCCACATTCAACAGAAAGGAGGGAGGCAGGAAGAGAACGCTGGGCCCCTCCTCTCCCAGGGGCCCCCTCCCTAGGCTCCATCCAGAGCCGGCCCCACCCTTGGGGGGTGAGATAACCCAAAGGAGAGGGAAAATCAAGAAAAGGGAAAGGAGTGGAAAGGAAAAGAAAAACAAGAACACCCCCACCCCTCCCGCAGCTGGAAGGTCAGAGGTTAAACAGGTTTATCTAGTCAAGCTGTTGAGGCTGAGGCCCACTGCCTTCACCATCCCAAAGAGGGGTGGTGGGGTGGGGGCAGGGCATTTAGCAGGTTTAGGTTAGGGGGCGGTCCAGCTGGTTACTGTGTTTAGAGGGCGGTTTAGAAGTGGGAGGGGTGGGTTAAGCAGGGTTTATGCAGCATTTAAGGGGGTGCCCAGCCCACTCATTTCACTGAGCTTTAAACCACTTCCCAAAGTCATTGCCAGTTCCCATCAGCTCCTGGACTCAGCTCCCAGCTGTCCCATCACCACCACCCATTCCCACCTCCCCCCACACCCCTGGCCTGCCACACCCTTCTTCCACCTCTGTCTCTGTTCCCTCACCCTAGACCTCCTCACTTTTTCTCCCTGCAAACTGCTTCTGCCTGCTCACCTGGTCCTGGCTCCCTGCAGGGCTGGAGACCCCATGGGCAGTGGGGTGCAAGGCCATGGGGAGAGGGGGATCTGGGCGCTTAAACTCCCTCCTACTCTCATTCGCCTGCCTGGGCCACCCTATGTGCACCTCCTGTGAACCTTCAGGATCACCTTCACAAGTTGGCCCACCTGGATTCATGTGTGCACAGATGCCATGGCTAGGCAGCCATGAGGCCGCCAGACTCTGCCTTCTCTACAGATTCAGGACCTCACTGCTGGTGTCCACCGCCTTACCCAGACCAAACTCCCTGTCTCCATAGCACTCTCATCCCATCTCCTAAAGGTATCTTTGGTCCTCCTCTGCTCTCTGCTCTGCCCTGCTCTTCACCTTGCTGTTCCTCTTCAGCACTCTCAGGCTCTCTGTGCAAAGCCAGGTTCTGCAGCTCTCTGCCCTTAGAACCCAGCCTTCGCCCATTTCTCTCCCTCACGTGCAGGCCTTTTTCCTTCAGACTCCTTCCCCCATTTCAGCTCCACCCTTCTCCATCCTGGGCTCCCCATCTGGGTACCCACCTGTTCTCTCTACTCCCAAGCTCCTACCCTGAGACAAGCAAGGAGAGGGAGAGAGAGAGAGAGAGAGAGAGAGAGAGAGAGAGAGAGTGTGTGTGCATAGGGATGCATGCATATCTTATGTGCGAGGGGCTTGCCAATGTGCCCTTCAGTTTTTCTCTGTGAACCTACCACAGCAGACAGGACATGATTTCCTTTGAAAACATGGCCACTCCATTTATTTAAACCACTCTTGCTGGGGTAGAGGTATTCCTCCTGCCTGAACAACACAACTGCACTTCCCTAACTAGAAACCCAGGTAGACCTATACCTGCTTATAAATAGCTCTTTGGACCATCTATGCTTATGCTCATGTATATATGAAGGATGTCCCCTTTAAAAGTTTTGGGGCAATGAGACCTTGTCTTCCCTATAGATTCCAAGAGGCTAGATGACTTGACCCAGGTCATGTGGTCTATCAGTAGAGATCCAGAATTAAATCTCGGGTTCTTATTGAGTCAGATCCCACAAGCTGTGGGAGGCCAGGTATGGTGGTGCACACCTTTAATCCCAGCACTCTAAAGGCAGACACAAGTGGGTATCTGTGAGTTCAAGGCCAGCCTGGTCTACATAGCAAGTTCTAGGCCAGCCAGGGCTACAGAGTGGGACCCTGTCTCAAACAAACAACAGGAGTGATACGTGTGCGGTCACTCTCACTGCTGTAGTAGCCTATGGGTTGCTCAGGGGCTACCCCCAGTGCACACAGGCAGCAACCAGGCTCTCAGGAGTCCCAGATTTAGCTTGACATGGTGGCACAGCCCTTTAATCCCAGCACTCAGGAGGTACTCTATGAGTTCCAGGCCAGTCTGGGCTACATAGTGAGTTCCAGGACCACCAGGGTTATGTAAAGAGATCCTGCCCCACCCCCCAAAAAGATTAAAAGATACCTAGATTTACAAGCAGGGGATGCCAGACAGCCTTTCCCTATACCTACCCAGGGGTCCTGGCAGAGGAGAGCAGACATCATGCCTCCCTCCTAGTCTCTGGCCTGCTGAGGTGACCCTCTGAGCATAAGGCCTGACCATAGGTATGGTGAATTTTTCATGCCCTGTCCAGCACACGCCAATGTCTTCACTATTACAAAGGACTGTACCTGTTCCCCTGAAACAGAGTGAACTCTGATGCCGTAGGTTCTGCTTGTCAGGTTCTGCTTGTGGCTAGAACTGGGAGCACAGACAGAGCTGTGTAGGAGAGTGAACACGTCTGACCCCACATACGCTCAGGGCTCTGGGGTAGACTAGCATCCCTCTACAGAACCGTTTTCTTGTAGATCCATCTTACCTTCTGAATGTCTAAGGTCACGTGAGCATAAGGCTGGCCTATAGCTATGTCAACCTCTGTTTATTAGGAGGATGTGGGGAGCTCTTATCTTAAGGGTTGCCTACAGCCATTCGGGCGCAAGCCATCACAAGTGTGAGTCCTGAGCCTGTCTGTACTGGCTTCAGTGTCTCAGCATGAGTGAGCCCTGAGCGGTTGTCCTGTTCATGTTCTGTCACTCTGGCTAGGAGCAATGGAGGTCACAGGTGGTCATTCTGCTGTTCAGTGGGGTCCTGTGTGACAGGCAGCATGCAGCCACAGCTCTAAGTCCCTGTCCTTCTCCCTGCAGTGTTCCTCCCTCCCTCCCTCTTGCTCTGTCTCTTGCAGGGCTCTGTCCACCTCTTCTCTCTCTAGCTGAGTCTGTGTCAGCATCTCTGCATCTCTCTGCATCAATCCAGGAGCTGCCTCCATCTCTGCAGATGTCTCTGTGACTATTTCCAGAACCCTCCATTACTCCTCCTCTGGCTTCCTCTCACCCTGAGGCTCCCTCCTGTGCTTCCTCCCCACCCAACCCCCCATGGCCTCATCCTCCTCCTTCCCCTGGGTTCCTAAGACCTTGCTTTGTCCTTGACCACCACAGCTGTAGCCCTAGGATGTCTCTGTAGCCTAGGATGTCTCTGTGTCCTCATCTCTGGGTTCCCAGGCCAAGCACAGACCCTGGCACCTTGTGTGTTGCCTCTGATGGCTCTTGAAGGTGTCTGACCCTCCTTTGAACTCTGTCTTTTCTCTCTCCCTTCCACCATGACCCTTACTGCCTGAAACACCGAGATCCCATCTCTCTGCATCTCTAAGCTCTCTCTCAGCATCTACAGGGGCTAATAAGGGTCCTTGTCTTTGGGTCTTTGGCTGCTTCTGTTTTGGGGAACAGCTCTGCCTCCTGCCAAGGTATGTTCATTTAACTTGTGAACATCTCTTCTAGGCTTCTGCATGGGTCTCACCATTTCCACCCTGCCCCTCCTTTCACCTGTCCCCCTTTCACCCTTTCCTCAATGGTATCAGACACTCCCTAGTTCTAGCCTCCTTTGTCTTCCCCGCACATTCCCAAACTGGATTCTGACCTTGCAACCTCATTCACCAAATAATATCCTCCTCCAAATCACTGGCTCACCTCTGGACCTTCACATCGCTACTTTTTCTTAACCACGCCCACACAGACGTTCCACCTTGTCTTTCCAATAGCCACGCCCTTTCCCACAGCCGGAAACCTCTCCATTTAGCCCCACAGCATTCCAATCTGAGGCTGTCAGACCCCACCCTGTCCCACCTTGTCTCCACTCTGCCTCCTCTGAGGACCTGTGCCACCTACCTGCTGGGTACCGTTCGTTGACTGGCCAGCTGTCCACCTGTAGAGTGGCGTTGCCACCACTTCGAGTAAATCGCACCACGTGATATTTGCCGTCACTCACAATGGCGTTGGGCTCATCAATGGTAATGTCGTCTGTGCCCACATTAAAAATCACCCCAACAGTGCCCTGGTCCTAGGGATGGGGAGACAGAGGTCAGCCACGGGGAGGAGGCAAATATCTGTTCTGCCTGGGGCTCTCAGCAGCCTTTCTCGTGTTCTGTAAAGCACCTCTTCAGGTCTCCACTGCCCAAGGCAGTGAGCAGGTTTGCCCCCTAGCATATGCAGGCAATAGAGTTCCCTGAAGGCTTATCAATTGGAGACCACCACCTAGGACTGCAGAACCCGTCATGGAGCCCTTTCCACTAACCACCTCTGTCTTTTGCCCTCAGGTTCATCTAGAACATTCGGAAAAGTTTACTGGGCACCTATGCTCTGCAAAGGCGCCTGGAGTCCACATGGGGATGACAAGGAGGAGAAAGTAGGAGGGTTCACAGCCTCAAAGGCCAGGCTGATCCCCCAGGCTCCAGCCTGTTCGCATCCCCAGGACTTTGACCTCTGCAGCTACGGAAGCAGGTGTATCCTGGACTCTGGAAGGGGGTGAGGGTCAAGGGAAGAGAAGAGAGCCATAGAGCTGTGCCAGCTTTATTAAAGGAGGATCTTGTGGTTTTGGGGTGGGGTTGGGGGTTTGAGGGAGCAGGCAGAAGACAGGTAAAGACTGGGGCTTGTAGAAAGGAAGCAAAGAGCCGGCAACCTTAAGAACCAGGCCCACAGCGAACCCTGAAGAGGCCATGTGGGGTCCAACTCACAAATCATTTGTCCAGTGGTACTGAAGTGACAAGAGGAGTTTTGCTGAGTCCACAAACACACACAATGTAGCCGTGAGGATGCTAGCGGTGTCACATTTTATTCAGGAAGAAACTAAACTTGGGCTTAAGTGATGTCCCAGCCTCAGCTCACAAGAGGGGGTCCAGCCCACCTCCAACGCCAGTGCCCAGTGCTTTTGTCTCTGGCCCACTAGTCTGGGGAGACACTTGGAGTGAGGGACAGAGCATGAGAGATGCTAAGGCTATCTATCCTGCCTTCAGGACCAGGGTGTCTCACCAAGCCAGTGGAAGGACCACTAAGCCCAAAGCTAAGCCTCTGTTATATTCCCCTATATCTCCCAGCAGCCATCATAAACACAGCAAGAGTCAGCCAGACCCTCCTCCCACACAGGACAGAGAGACACAAGGCTCCTTTGGGCCCCCGGATCATTATTGGGGACCCAGTCTAGTATACGAACACACTGAAAGACTCCCAGTCCAGCCTGAGCAAGAAACGCCTTTGGTTGTTAGCTACATTTAAAGAGAGCTGAAAGCCCGGGGATGGGATGAAGGAGGTTCAGGCAGGTGAGGGGTGGGTTGAGGAATAGAACACAGTTGAAGACCAGGGTATGCATGGTCCCCATGGCTATCTATTTCCCACTTGTGGGGTCCAGTTCTCCCCATCCCAAGATCCATAACAAGCCAGATACACCTGTATGCACACACATGTGCACACACCCTGTCATCCACCTCCAAGGAGGTAAAGCAAGGAAACTGAGGCGGCCCTGCCTAACAGTCTTAGCAAGCCCCACCCATGCACCACCCACAGACTGACAACATCCCCAGGGAGACGCCATCATCATTTGCTCCCCACACAGGCAAGGGAACAGCCAAGCCTCCTGGTTACTATTGTTAGTAATGATACCACCCAGAATAGTATCAGCCCCTTGGATGTTTCTGAGGGTTTCTCCCCCTCACGAGGCTCTGCCCAGGCAGTGACAATGGTCAAGGGCGCTGGCAGGCTGGGAGCTGGACTGGCAGAGGACTGGCTAGGGGAGCTGGAAGGCAGGACACCTGGGTTTCCTAGCAGGCAGCCAAGCTTGGAACTGTGCACTCCGGGGGAGAGGCAGCTCCCCAGAGCTGCTCCCGATGTGAAGTCAGTTGTCACTTCTGTTAAAGTCATTAATTCCTAATTCCCCAATTACCTCATTAGGCGGCGGTGGGGAGAACGCGGCCGCTCCTACAGCAAATAATTATGGGAGTCAAAATTAATTTGGCAAAGTGGAGCGACGCTTTATTAGAAACGTCAAATTGCTTTTCTCTTATTTTGCTGCCGCCTCCCCACTCTCTGAGAACTGCTAACGACGCTGTGGTGGGAGCTGATGTATCACTGGGGAGGAGGGGGTTTGGGGGCTGCCCCCAAGGGGCTTTGAGCCCATCTGGTACCCGACTCCCCCTCAGTGCCAGCCTCTCTTGGGACCTCCACCCTTCTCAGCATCCTCCCCCACCCTCTGCAGCACCTAGGCCTAGCTCCCTCCCTCACAGCCTTATACCAGGAGAGGCTTGAGGGAAGGAAGAAGGACATCTCTCCTCACAGACTTCCTGCCCTTCCTGCTCTGGGAGGAACCATCATTCCCTAAACCTGCAGGTCCAGATGGGCACACACTGCCCAGGTGGCTAATCACCAGTGGCCAGGATACCGAATGCTCCCAAAGTGCAGCGAGCACATTACACACATGATCTAATTAAGCCTCTGCCCTCTCAGCATGCCACACACCTGGGGAAACTGAGGCTCAGAGAGCTGCAGTGACCTGCATAGACACAGAGCTAAAACACGGAAAGTGCTGAGGTTCAAACTCACACCATCAACTCCAAAGCCACAAAGCCATGCCCTCCTAGGATGGAGAAGAGGGGACTGGCTCAAATAAGATGAGCACAAGGAAACATGGTGACATTCTACCACACAGACAGGAGGCTGAAACCACAGCAAACTCCACTCCCTAAAGAAACATAAATGCATAGCTCCATTCTGCCAAGGAACACTGGCCCAGGGTCTTCCTGGGTCACCTCAACTCACAGCCATCTCTCCTGTCACAACTGCCATACACCCACCACTATCCTGCTGCCCATGGCGCACTGTCTCTCTCCACAGGCTGCCACACAGAATTTCAGGCCTCTTCCTCACGCCTGGCCTATGTCTCACTGCCTACTCTTGCCTCCTGGGAACCTCACCTGTCACTTGCCACTGCCACCAGCCATGTCTTCTCCCTTTACAACTCAGCGTTGTTGGAGGAGGGGTGCAGACCTCAACCTGAAGAGCTGTTGTGTGGGAAGGGCCAGGAGCCCCATCCTTACTCAGATGAGGAAGGTCAGAACTTATACAAACCTTTTTGTTTTTCTCTCCCTTCCAATTCTTCCTTCCTCAAAAACCCAGGGCTCCCCACACAGACCTTTCCAACAGACATATAGAGCCTTTTCTACCCTCAAAGCTCAGGGCTCTGGCCAGGGCCAGCATGTGGGATGCAAACAGGAAAGCAAGGGAGACAGGAGCCTATTATAGAGATCAAAGCTGAAGTCAGAGTCTGGGACTTAAGACCATGGAGGAGGGAGGGGTTGGGGAGATGCTAAGCTTAGAAATGAAATCTGACAAGGCCAAAAGCTACAGAGAAGGTGTAAGGCAGGCCAGAGGTCACAGAGAAGAGACTGGAACAGGGCCAGAGGTCACAGGGAAGGGTGTAAGGCAGGCCAGAGGTCACAGAGAAGAGACTGGAACAGGACCAGAGGTCACAGGGAAGGGTGTAAGGCAGGCCAGAGGTCACAGGGAAGAATGTGGGGGCAGAGCCAGAAGTCATGGAGGAGGGTGTGGGGCAGGATCAGAGGTCACGGGGAAGGGTGTGGGACAGGATTTGAGGGCACAGGGAAAGGTGTGGGGTGGGGTCAGAGGTCACAGGGAAGTACGGAAGGTGCCCAAAGAGTAAGAAAGGAAAGGGATGAACTGCCTATAGACTAATGGGACGTGAGCGTCAACCAAGGGATCAGTGAGGAACGAACTTGAGCAGAATCTGTGAGAAAAACCTGGTGAAGGGTCTGCTGGGAATGCAAAGGTCATGGAAACAGAGATCACAGGTATGGTAAAGGCAGAGGTGGGATTTGAAGTCAAGACAAAGAGGCACAGATAGCTGCTGTTGGGCAAGGAGGTGTGAGGAAGAAGACAGGGGCAGGTTAGGCTACAGGGAACAGAAACAGCCCAGAGACACCCTAAAGGTGAGGACATTTCTGAAAGCTACAGTAAAATGACCTAGAAAGCTCACAGACACCTTGGATGACTGGAGGACACAGTTGGTCTGCACAACAAATGGGTGACTCTTGAGTGACCAGGAGGGGACCTGAATCTCAAAAGAACTTCAAGAAATGAGGGGATGGGGCCTTGAGTGCTCCCCACAAGGGGCAGATATGACATGATATCCACAGCAGTAAGGACTAGGGAGATTTGGAGTCAGGGTGGCAGGGTTAGGGGCTGGGCCCAGGTCCTTACAATGTGCAGCTGCAGGTAGTCCCCAAGGCCCGAGGCACTGTCCACTCGCACTAGTACAGCGCTCCGCTGGTGGGTGCTGAAGCCTACAGCCAGGCGGTCCATCCTCGTGCTGGGCCGGTCATTGGGGGGCCATGTGTAGGTGATGAGCGCTCCCCCCTTCCCAAAGATGTATGTGGTCCCAGCTGCAGAGAGAAGGAAATGGAGAAGAAATGTCAGTGGGTCCTTGTGGTTGGATGAGGCACAAGGCCTCAGCTATAAAGCCCACAGAAGACACCAACCCGTAATTCCAGATGCTCGGGTGAGAGCCTGTGTGCGTACATACAGACAGATGTAGCTGCCTCATCAAGAATCCCAGCTTTAATTACAGCAATACAGGTAACACATAGAGTGTGACCAGAAAAGACTTAAAAAAAAAAAAAACCCACACAGCAAGAATGACCTGTGCAGGAAGGACCTGGGGCCTGCTTTTGACCAGCTCAACTTCTCCCAAGTGCTGCTTTGGGACCAGAGCCAAGCAGCAATGAGGCAAGAGGGAGCCTCAAGTGATGGCGGGAAGATGAGCAGGGCTGTGGGCAGCTGTGACTCATGGCTCATCTCTGGCACTTTGCCAATGCCAGCCCCTTAGTCCTCTCCCAGTCCCCTGGGAATCTTCCTGGTTTGTCCAGGGATCCTTGTTTCCACCCTCAGGCAAGGGTACCTGGGTGCCAAAGCTCAGAGGCCTGGAATTCTGCCCAGAAAGGAGGAGGCAAATTGGGGGGGGGGAGTTGACAGCCAGAGGAGGGAGGAGGCAGAGAGACAGATGGACAGAGAAGGACAGAGAGGGATGTAGGTGAGAGAAGCAGGAGAGTGGGAGCCTGAGATGTAGGCTCCCTCTCCCAACCCTCCCCCACCCCACCCTCTCTCTTCTTCTCCCTCTCCTCTTCGCCATCCGGCTGCCGGGGGCGGGTGTGAGGTCCCTAACGATCTCAGCCCCAAAATAAACCCCATTAGTCGCCATGTTCCCTCCTGCGGCTGACTGAGTTCCCTGGGGGTGGAGGTGGGAGTGGGAGGGGGGCTGGTCACCCAGTTTCCGGGAAGGGAGCCTTGTCTGGGAGGCCTGGAGGACCAGACTCTTGGACCTGCAGGAAGGGAAGAGGGGAGAGTCATCTTGTATCCTTTAGGACACAAAAGAGCAGACAAGACTCATAAAGTGCTTGATTAAATCATTAGCTACTAATGACTCCTCTCAAGGCACTTCTTGGGGTGGGGAAAGGGGTTCAAGGGAAGACTTAGCCAGTGAAAAGGAGACGCAGATGGGGCCTAGGGGCAGAAGTCTGGAGCAGACCAGTAGAGAGTACAGAGGTGGAGAACTATGGTCTGGGGAAAGCAGGGACCTGGGGGGTCTCTCACCCAGTAGCCCCCTTGTAGTCCAGGCAGTTGGGTGGAACTCGGGACACATCCTAGGGAGCTCAAGGTCCCCATATAAGAAGTGGTTTCTGAGTGCCTTGGAGAAGGTGTGGAAGGTTGGGAATGGAAAGGAAGGCTGCAACCTAGCATCAGAGATAGTGAGACTAGAGCCAGGGAAAGAATCAGTCCCTTGCTGTTCCCCAGAGCACCTACCTTGTCTTCCACCTCCCAGACAGAGAACAGAATGGAAAGGGACCCCAGGGGCAGGGCAGACAGGGAAAAACCACAAGGATATCTAAAATGGTCATCTTTCTGCAGACTGTAGTTTGGAAAGCACTCCAGTCAACAGAAGGAAACCAGCTCTGCCCCTGCAGGCTTAGGTGTCCTCCAAACCTCAGGCCCTAGGGGCACAGTGGGGAAGGCTGAGTTCAGGTTGAGTTCCAAGTTTAGAGTAGAGAGCCAGTTCCAGCGAGGGGTACAGAGTGAACATCACTTCAATACCCAGTTCCGGTTACCTGCCTGCCTAGAAAGGGCTGGGCCTGGAGGCCAGAGCCAAGCAGCTATGCCTCAGCCAGTACAGTCTCTCAGCTCCCAGCACTGCAGCACTCCAGAAAATCGGCTGTTTCCATGACAACCATAATACCCAGGGTCCTCCCTCTACCCTCCACTCACAAGCCGCATGTAGAATTTGCAGTGGGGGGGGGGATAGGTTTGGGGGAACAGAGATGCTGACCTTCCTCTACATACTCCCTGACCCCTGGACTCCAGGATCTCCCAGGGAGAGGAGGGCTTCTCGGTCCCCTCACACTGGGGAAAGACACCAGACTCATACATCTGTGTGGAGTCTACCCCCAAACCCGCCAGGTCTAAGGAGGAGGCCCTTCGTGCGGGCTTTCCCGCTGGATGCCACACCGCAGGCTCAACACCATGGACAGCGCTGAGCCTGCGCCGAGAGCGGTGGAACAACAGCAAGCCAGGTGCCGGGTTAGACATGGAGGGAGGTCTGAGACGCGTGCCCACAGCCCAAGTCCCAGGCCTTGCAAGCAGACACAGCTCCGAGTGACGCACACCTAGACCCTAGACCCTACACCCACGCGCGGGCGGCGACGCACCCAACTGCACACAAAGCCCCAGCCGGGAGAGGCAGACCCCACCGGTGACAGAGTCGCGGCAGCCGGGGAAACATGGCGGTAAACGCACAAAGGCAGGCCTCCCCGGGCGGCCAAGGGCTAAAGCCGAAGGGCGTTTATTATACTGTGGGGGGAACCAGGTTGGAGAGACACTTCTTGGGCAGGAGAGGGGAAGGATGAATGGTTTATTGGGCTGGGGCTGCAGTAATTACCCCGGGGAGACATTTCTCTCCCCAGCACCACGATTTCCGCACGGGCGGGGACAGAGGGCTTGGCTTAAGGAGGAGGTCGGGTGCGAGAGGCGGGGCTTCTGCCAAGTCCCGCCCCTCCGGCCACGCTCGGGAGGCGCTTCACGCAGCGGCTCGACCAGGCAAGCAAACTGTCCCTGGCCCTGCCCCGTACTCCCCCAAGAAGGCACGGCAGCCTTAGTGCCAAGACAACACTCCACGTCTATAACTCTTGACCGCATCCAGCAAGGACTTGAGAAGCAAAGGTGCCTAAAGTAAGCCCCAGTATTGCCCAAGGCTGTTGTAGACCAGTTGTTCTTTTCCACGCTGGGAAATGGGAAGCTGACTGTGCATAGCATGCTAACCATTACACACCGCTGAAGCCCACGGCAAGAGAGTTTCTAATCAGGTTCAAGATTGGCACCTTCTGCCCTCATCCAACATAGTTTTCTCAATGCATCCTAGACCCAGAAATCCACAGAGCCATAAAGTACTAGAAATGATCATATAGTCAACACCACACACACACACACACACACACACACACACACACACACACATACATTCTAGTGAGAAAGCAACCAACCATTAACAATGGTTAGGGAACCCAGACTCACATCGGTTATTCCGAATAAAAACCACCCATGTAGTCATGCCCCAGGGCTAAAATACATGTGCAGCCGCTCTGTCTGTCAGTGCCCCAGTAGCATCAGAAGCTATAACAAAAGCCTTCTGGAAGATGTAAAATGGTCAGGGCTCCTGTGTAACCCAGAAACGCCTCTATCTTAGGTGCTTTCTGCCACCAACAAATATTCCCAGGAGAACCACTACAACCAGGGGGTGGAGCTTCTGCACAGGCCCAGACCCCTGAACTCAACTCTCTCTTGATCTACATACCTCCTCAACTTTTAACTTAATTCTTGGCCATACACCATTCAGTCAGAGATCCCAGTTGACATGCCCATCCCCAGAACCAACACACATGATAGTCCCTTTATGCTGGAAGCTACGGATCCAGAAATGAGCTGGGACTGAGTCTTTGCTGGCTCCCAGGGGAACCAGGAAGGAACTGAGACCTCATCAAGGATTCAGAAGCCAGGACTTGGACAAAGGGGTTCAAGACCAGAAAGGTGTCATCTCCTTCATCCATTTTAGGTCCCAGTGGTCACCCCATATCCCACAGTGACATCAGGTGCAGAAGTGTCAATGGTGTTTGGCAGGTGGGTAGGGACATTATGTAACAAGAGTGGTGGGGGGATGGGAGGGACAGTGGGGAAGCGGTGAGGAGGGAGGAAAGGCAAGGAGAGACTCAGTGGAGAAGCAGAGAATAAGGTGTCCATGAAGAGAGATGTCCTCACACTAGGGAACCTTGGAGCAGGAGGAAACCTGCCTTCAACCCTTAGAGGAGTCCCAAGGGAAGCTGCTTCTCTCATCTTCCCCATAGGTAATGTGAACAGAGATGGGATCAGTCATGACAGCATGCTTCTTCCTCTTCTAGCTTCCCTTAGCCCCTTCCTTCCTCCCCGAATCCCTCACAGCCTCCCTACTGCCTCCATCACTGTCCCAGGCCACCCTCCATCTCATCCTCTACTCCTCCTACTCTGGGAAGACACCCCAAGGCAATGCTCATGCCAACATGATATAGTTCTTTCAGATTCCTGTTATCTTGACCTGTATCCCTGGAGCATCAGGGGCTGTGACAAGAACCTTCTGGGAGATCTAGAACTGTAGAGGGATAAAGCATCCTACACAATCCAGAAAAACCTGCATTCCTGTTCCCTCCCTCTGCCTGGCTCCTGCTCCTTGCCAGCTCCTGGGCCCTCTTCCCCACCTGCCCGTCATTCCTGGGCCAGCACTTCTCTCTTTCACTCTCCTCTTCCATACCTACTCCTCCTCACCACACAGGGCACCCCTCCATTGAGCCCAACCCTTCCTAGCTCACTCTTTGTGCCTCTCATTGTTGCCTAGAATGACCATGTTCTGTCTGAGCCTTTGGAAGCAACACTGGGCCTGAGGAAAGCCAGAAGAGAACAATGAGGAGGACAGGGGGCAAATGAAGAGGGCAGAGAGATCCTGGGGAAGCAGAGCTGAGAGCAGGAGCATGGTGTGGGGCTGAGGTTACAGGAGAAGAGAAACTGGGGAGTAATGCATGGGGCAGGGATGGCAGCTGAGACAGGGACTAGAGAGGAGAGACTATGAAGGAACACAGGTGCAGTCTGAAGAGACTACTCCTGGGGAATGGATGAAACAAAGTAGTGGCATATTGGGGTGGGGTGGGGGAGTTGAGAGACCGGATATGACATGGGGACACAGAGATGAGGAAGAACAATTGTGGGAAGCACATACCATGCAGAAATGGGCGGCAGCGAGGGGAATGGATGGGACAGGACAGCAGTGTGGGTGAAGAAGGTGACAGAGGAACAAAAACGGAGCTGGACA